TAATTCGGTTCTCGAATGATGCCCTCCCCGCGGATTGCTTCCCTTCTAATTCGGTTCTCGAATGATGCCCTCCCAAGTGCCCCTTAGAATGTTCGCAACAATCAATTAAAACATTGGCAACTTGCAACATAAGTGTGAAACCGCAAGGGAAGTAATTAATGAGTGCTTCCCTGGGTGGCCACCAACCGTATAGATGAACGGCGGCCAAGGGGAGCATTCGTGTCCCGAAAATAGATGCTTCCCTTGCCTGGTTTCACCTAGGGACCCTGAGAATGGAGGCTGTTCATGCAGAGTAACGTTCTGGGGGTCACTGAGGTTTGTGGGGACATCCCTTGGGGACAATGGTGGTTTAGAGGGCTTTCTGTGGCTGGGACTCCCAAGTACAGAGGGTCATGGGGGAAGACTCCTGCTCACCGGAGGTTGGAAAACCACCACTAGAGTTCCTGTGACAAGCTGGGAGTGGAAGGACCCGGGAAGGGGGCACTTAGTGGCGGGAACAGGGAACAAAGGGACTGAGGTTCTGGTTCCATTGTGTGACCCCCGGAAGGGGGAAGACCGGGGAGGGGACATTGTCATCATGTGTGTTCCATTCTCATGGGGAAAGTATAAAGCTGAGTGTGGCCAATAAAAGTATTTTGTACCCCTGGAACTGTGTGTCGTCCAGTTACTGGGGGCAAAATGGGTCTCTTCATTCTGCATTAGCGAAGGTAACCAGTCGGGTTATTGCCCCGCTACAATGTGCTTCTCATTAATTATGTCAAAACACCCTCTCTCTGGCCGCACCCCTTTCTACTGAGCCACTATGATTAAAAAAATGCAGAAGACAAATTTTTTTCCCAGTCCAGCCCTGCAGGGAGATGTGCTGTTATGAGAATTTAAGTTAGATTTACTTAAAGGGACACTATAGTCACCAGAACAACTACAGCTTGATGTAGTTGTTCTGGTGTCTATAATTAAAAGCCTGTCGCTGTCTGGGCACACCCGTGGTTTCCTCATAAGGTAGTCTTTATTGAAGGAGCACAGAAAACAGATGTTTCAGCCCTCTTATGTGCCTTGGTCAAGACTTGACCAAGACACATAAGAGTGCTGAAACATTCTCTGTTTTCTGTGCTCATTCAATAAAGACCTATGAGGAAACCACGGGTGTGCCCAGACATGTGTATTTTGCATATTGACTTTACTTGGAAATTGTCCTAAATTGTTTGGAGGCATCTTAGTGGGAGTATCCCCTAACAGTGTATGCATTATCTCTTTCTCTCAAAAGTGAGATTGGGAGCCTGTTATTAGCTGGTTAATTTGTGCTGCTAAGCGTTCATGCAGCATTGTTAATTTTTTTATCCAGTAGATGTGGATCAGATAAGGTTTTGTTGGATATCTCGCACTGTGATGGTGACTGGTTCCTGTACTGCCAACATGCAGTGGCCACTAGACATGTGCAATTCGTTTTTTTCCGAATGTACATTCGGCCGAATTTCATGCAATTTGGACATTCAGATGCTTACAAATGTCCGAAGTTTGAATTGCCGAATTTCCGAATTGCTGAACCGAACCTAATTGCAGAAGTTCCGAAGCGCTTACGATTTCTGAAAAGCAGTGGAACGGCACCGCAGGCATAAAAGGGGTTAAACACCATTTAGGGGATATTCCCCTTCTAGATACACAGGCAGCTACCAAAGACACCAATGTGCCGAACAGGAAACCATATGAATGCCGTAAACAGCTGCACTGGAACCATACGAATGCTGTAAACAGCCGAATAGGAAAAACCATACGAATAGGTTTACACTCCTAGCAGTCAAACTGAAACAGCATACAATAAATCCCCCCAAGAACGAGACAAGGCTCCGTTTTGAGGGTCAAGCAGGAACAGACAGAGCTGTGGGTTTATTGTTCTTATGTACACATTAGTACCACCCACAGGGTTTTGGAAAACAACCAATAAACACGTACAATACACTCAGACACTCCCACACAAAATCCTCCCCTCTGCCTGTGATACAATTACCTTACATAATGGGTTAATGTAATTATCACATGCAGAGAAATACAGTTTTTCCACATTATTCATAACTTGAAAAGTATACATCACGTTCACATAAAACTTTTCAGAATCAGCATACTCCAAATACAAACATATGTCAAAATCATCCAAATTGGTCCAGTGGTTCAAAAGATAGATCGAAGTCCTTTGTGACCAAATGAAGCATGGCTTTTCTTCCCAAAACCAGTTCCACAGAGTCTTCTATCCTGGAGATAATTGGGAAGTAATCCAATTATCTCCAAGGACAGAGGCAAAACTTCATTGAACACATGGTAGCAAAAGACAATAAAATACATAAAAATATATAACTGTGCAGCTATTGCATTAAACAGGTACATTCAACATATCCCCAGATAGCTTAGATCTGAGCGCACATTATTACTGAATGGCGCTCAGATCACATACATACAGTTCAATTGCCATGGAGCCAAAGTCTTTCACATAGTCTTTCGTTAGTCTGGGCCTTGGTGTTATGTGATGCATCTTTTATCCCGATATTCTTCCAGTACTGTTTAGTCTCTGCACTGGGTGGGTCTTGGGCGGAGTTGTAGTGGTTACCCTGCAGCTGTGCATATATCTTGAATGGTTCTGGTGTATCTGCTTAACTCGCAACTTCAAGTCACCCAGCTTCACAGTCCGCCCAACAAAGTTGTACTGGTCACAGGCAGTGGCTCCCAAGGACACCTGGTTGGCCAGATATCCAATGCCAACTGCAGCAGCAACATGTTCCTGCAGAGATTCAGGTTGGCAATCCTCTTCAGGTACCTGAATGACACTATCTACCTCTTAATGGTGTTCAAATGTTGTGTAACCAGCTGTTTTGGTGTTAGGGTAGATGATGTTTACTTATTCTTCAATAGTGCTAACATACATTTCATGTAGCCCTTCTGATAGGGTCTGCTGGTCGTTCCATATATATACAGTTGCAAGAAAACGTATGTGAACCCTTTGGAATGATATGGATTTCTGCACAAATTGGTCATAAAATGTGATCTGATCATCTTCTAAGTCACAACAATAGACAATAACAGTCTGCTTAAATTACTAACACACAAAGAATGAAATGTTGCCATGTTTTTATTGAACACACCATGTAAACATTCACAGTGCAGGTGGAAAAAGTATGTGAACCCTTGGATTTAATAACTGGTTGAACCTCCTTTGTCAGCAATAACTTCAACCAAATGTTTTCTGTAGTTGCAGATCAGACGTGCAGGAGTAATTCTTGACCATTCCTCTTTACAGAACTGTTTCAGTTCAGCAATATTCTTGCGATGTCTGGTGTGAATCGCTTTCTTGAGGTCATGCCACAGCATCTCAATCGGGTTGAGGTCAGGACTCTGACTGGGCCACTTCAGAAGGCGTATTTTCTTCTGTTTAAACCATTCTGTTGTTGATTTACTTATATGCTTTGGGTCATCGTCCTGTTGCAACACCCATCTTCTGTTGAGCTTCAGCTGGTAAACAGATGGCCTTAGGTTCTCCTGCAAAGTGTCTTGATAAACTTGGGAATTAATTTTTCCTTCGATGATAGCAATCCATCCAGGCCCTGACACAGCAAAGCAGCCCCAAACCATGATGCCCACCACCACCATACTTCACAGTTGGGATGAGGTTTTGATGTTGGTGTGCTGTGCCTTTTTTTCACCACACACAGTGTTGTGTGTTTCTTCCAAACAACTCAACTTTGGTTTCATCTGTCCACAGAATATTTTGCCAGTACTGCTGTGGAACATCCAGGTGATCTTGTGCAAACTGTAAACGTGCAGCAATGTTTTGTTTGGACAGCAGTGGCTTCCTCTGTGGTATCCTCCCATGAAATCCATTCTTGTTTAGTGTTTTACGTATTGTAGATTCGCTAACAGGGATGTTAGCATTTGCCAGTGACTTTTGTAAGTCTTTAGCTGACACTCTAGGATTCTTCTTCACCTCATTGAGCAGTCTGCGCTGTGTTCTTGAAGTCATCTTTACAAGACGGCCACTCCTAGGGAGAGTAGCAGCAGTGCTGAACCTTCTCCTTTTATAGACAATTTGTCTTACCATGGACTTATGAACAGCAAGGCTTTTGGAGATACTTTTATAACCCTTTCTAGCTTTATGCAAGTTAACAATTCTTAATCATAGGTCTTCTGTGAGCTCTTTTGTGCGAGGCATCACTCACATCAAGCAATGCTTCTTGTGAAAAGCAAACCCAGAACTGGTGTGTGTTTTTTATAGGGCAGCTGTAACCCACGCCTCCAATCTCATCTCATTGATGGGATTCCGTTTGGCTGACATCTCACTCCAGTTGGCTCTTGGAGATGTCATTAGTCTACGGGTTCACATACTTTTTCCACCTGCACTGTGAATGTTTACATGGTGTGTTCAATAAAACATGGCAACATTTCATTCTTTATGTGTTATTAGTTTAAGCAGACTGTGATTGTCTATTGTTGTAACTTAGATGATAATCAGATCACATTTTATGACCAATTTGTGCAGAAATCCATATCATTCCAAAGGGTTCACGTACTTTTTCTTGCAACTGTATATATATATATATATATATATATATATATATATATATATATATATATTGTAACAAACCACCTCTTTAACAGGTAGGATTTTGCAACAGATCAAACCTTACCTTACCATAAGTTAACCACAGCCTTCTAGGGTAATCAAAGTCCAGGACACATTCAGCTCAGTTTTTCTGATTTATTATACAGGTGCTCCAAAATAAAACAAACAAAACAAAATTCCTTGCTCTTGTTTGAGCACTTACTAAACAGAGGAATTGGGTGGCTTTCCCACTTACCAATTGACAATCACAAGCTATAACTGCAAAACACACCAATCCTCTGGCTCTTTCTCCCTCACTCTGCAGCAGGCTGATCCCTTCTTTTAAAAGTCTGCCTGCTAATTGACCAGCTACACGTCAGTATCAATTAGTTCACATACAAGTCCTGGTCTGGCTGTTATATAGCAACTAGTGCTATTGGAGCACTGGCCCACCCTGCTCTCCAAATGCTCCGCCCCAGGGACCCTTACCATGGTTTGCAGAGTACCAACAATGTATCTTGCAATGTATCCAAAATCTCTCCCTGGGGCATTTAATTGAGAAACCTCAGGCTGCCGTTTAGTAAATCAGGCCTAATGTATCTTCCCTCAGCAACCATTCCACATTTTCTCTCACACTATATATATATATATATATATATATAAAATCCAAAGCAGCTTGGCACTCTCCTTACTAGAAAAAGAGAGAAAAGCAAAATTGCCTAGGTGCAACCCGCGTTATAAATATATGTATACAGACAGGGGTGCACTCACAGGTCTTAAGAAAGAATGACAATCAAGTTATTAGAGTGAAAAAATCTTCATTACATCCGTGAAAAAAATCGATGTTTCGACCACTAAGGGTCTTTCTCAAGATCACAGCACACATAAAAACAGTGAGAATATATACACATATTCATTAATCAAATAACTTACCAAACATGTGAGGAAAGTGATTGTGGACCCATTAGCCTGCGAAACCGGAAACCCGGAAGTGCTGTATGCCGCGATGACGTCATCACGTGATGACGTATCGCGGAAGAAAAGCGTGGTTACTAGGCGACCAGAAGACGCCGTGTCAAAGTGAAAAGCCAGCATCCCGAGAACGGGATTTTTACAAGAACAGACACATAAGTGTCTAGATGGAGGAAGCCAAAATATACATATGGTTAGAACAGTAGAGATCCAACAACCAAAAGAAAAAGAAAATTAATAAAGTAATAAAAATAAAATGTACACAACCCATGTGTTTAGTAATATTGGTATGTATATAGGTTACAACAAGACCAACCATCCTTGCATATAAGTGAAGAATGTGAATGAGTGAAGTGAAAACAGGTGGAAATGTGTGTGAAAGTAGGATAGAAGGTAGTGGTAACTCCATTTCAAAGCTATGAACCCTATAGGTGAAGCTGGAATAAATATAATGATCTCCACATCCAAAACATATGTATATACAACATCTACTACGGCTGCAAATAATTACATCTTGTGTAGTATACATATAAAAGTGGTATTATCCTTGTGAATATCTGTTATATGATCAATCACAGTAATAGGTATCCTAATTATTAATATGATTATTAACATACCAAAATAAGCAGCAAAAGAGCTATATTAGAAGAGCCACATCTTAATATCCTCATGGATGAAAACCATAATGAGGCAACCCTTAAGACGCTCCTAACAATGCATAAACAGTAAAAAATCATAAAAATATCATAAAATATTCAAAGAATATAGACAACATATATGTATATACATATGCACATATACATACATACATATATATCTTATACAAGAATACAAAAAATATAAAAAAATATAAAAAATATAAAAAAATATATAAAAAAAATAAAAAATAAAATAAAAAACAAAACAATCAAAAATCCCCAAAAATCAAAAAATCAATAAAAAATAATAAATAAATCAAGAAAATATAGAAATCATATAGAAATAAAAATATCAATCAGATTCCGACCGGAAGCAAATCACCAACATCGCCAAGGTTATATGGGCTAACTGCGTCTATAGATATATCCCTAAATCTATTAATAAACGGAATATACTATATTCTCATTTAGTCCCTTAGGAACAACCCTATCCAACTTATAGATCCAAGCTGCTTCCCGCTGTAATAAAGCTTTAGATCTGTCACCTCCACGGGGAAGAGGGGGGACATGATCAATCGCTATAAATCTCAATATAGGCAAATGGTGTTGTGCTGCAACAGGTTTTTCTGTTTTATTATCTCGAAAAGCAGTCATAATTCCTGAGCGATGACCACGTATACGATCCCGTAGTGTCAAGTCCGTTTTGCCTATATAGGAAAGGCCACATGGGCAGGTAATCATGTAGATAACATGAGGTACACGTTATATAGTGAGATATGGGTATACGTTTGCCACTGTGAGGGTGGCTAAATGTTGTACCACTGATCATGTGGCCACACGTTACACAGCCTGAACATTTATAACATCCTTTCTTTTTAACAATAGAAGATCTTTTATAGCATTGAACAGGGTCACTTTTCACTAATAAATCACGAAGATTTTTATTTCTTTTATAGCTGATGATCGGCTTTTGTTGAAATATATGAGGGAGATTCCCATCTGCTTGAAGGATGTCCCAATGTTTTTTTATCGAATCTCTCATTTTCAATGTACCCGTGTGAAAAGTTATCGGTAAGAAGATATTATTATGGGGTTGTACCGTGGTCTTGGCTGTAGTAATGTTGCTCTCATCCTCAAAATGTTTAATCGCTTGATTCTTGGCTTTATCCAATATCCGAGGGTGGTAGCCACGTGCAAGAAAACGTTCATACATCTCTTGAAGTTGTGTATCCCTGGAAGATATTTCACTGTTGTAACGAAGTACCTGGAGGAACTGTGATATAGGTAATGCATCCTTGAGATGTTGGGGGTGAAAACTGGTCGCCAAAAGAAGCGTATTCCATCTGTCTGTTTTCTGTATAATGTATAACATAGTTTACATTTCTCTGCATGTTTGTATACGTGAACATCCAGAAATTGTATAGATGTTTCGTGCCACGTAGGTGTAAGGATAATAGGTATTGGTGAGGAATTAACAGTTTGAACCATATCCTTTAATTCATCCACTGTACCATCCCATATCAGAAAAATATCGTCCACATAACGAAGGTATTTCAAGATCTTATGTTGATATAATGGTAAGATATATTTATTTTCGAACCAAAACATAAATGAATTAGCATATGAGGGCGCCATAGCTGCCCCCCATAGCTGTGTCTGCTATCTGAAGGAAAAATTGTTCCTCAAATTTAAAATAATTACAAGTTAACGCAATAGAAAGAAACTCAATAAGAGCCTGTGTATAAATCTGAACTGCACAACATTTTCCGTACTGCTTGTATACCAAGATCATGGGGTATAACAGTATATAAACTTTG